CTTGTAGTCTGCTATTTTTTCCACTACTTTCGGAGTGGCCACTTTGGGTTTGGACCCACCAATGACTCCAGGCTTGATGCTGCCAGTCTCGTAGTATCTGCAAAAGCGGAAAGGAAAAAAAAAAAAAAAGAAATTTTATTTTTAAAAAATTTTTTTCATTTTTAACACCAAAAAGTTTAAAAAAAAAAAAAAAAAAAAAAAGTAATTATTTCATTGAAAAGTGACTTTTTGGAGTTTAAGTAAGAGTGAAACAAACGAAGCATTGCACGAAACGTGCCAACATGAAAGGAAACAGGTGTGGTGTCAAAATATGACGTGACTTTTAGGGAAGTTTTGCGCCTCTAATTTACCAAAAGTTCCCACCGAATAATAAAATAATATATTTTTTTTTCTTAAGAAAAGCACGCTTATTAATATAGATTCAAGTTTGCCTTTCCCCGAGAATCCCCCCCACCCAACCCCCCAATCCCCCTCTCCTCTCACCTGCCGAGGATCTTGCTGACGCAGCCGTGGCTCACCCGCAGCTGCCTGGAGATGTCGCAGGGCCGGACGCCCTGGTGGGCCAGCTCCACTATCCGCTGCCTCACCACGTCCGGGAGGGGTCTGCCGTTCACAAACACCCCGCCGAGCTGGTTCACACCTCCGTGCCCTACGTGGGATACAACAGCAGCAAAAAACACACAGACGTAACATTACATAAGGTCGTTATGAAAAAAAGTAAAATGAAATAAAAGAATGAAAGAATGTGCAGGCAAATGAAACAAACAAACAAAAAAAAGGAATCAGAAAATAACTTGCTACGTTTGTATGAATAAAACATGGAGTGAGGGTCGAAAATTGTGATTCAAATTGTGATTTTAAATTGTTTCGTTTAAAAACTTATTTTTCTTAACTTTAATGCCAGAAAGGGTGCTCACATTATCTTGCTTTATGTAATTCAGAAAAATCAATTGTTTATTCCCAATAATTATGCACTTACATATATTTTTTTTCTTTTGAAAAATGGAAAATACAAAACATATTTACAACAGGGAACTTTTTTGAAAGGAAAATGTATAGATATTTTAGAAGATATTTTATATATATTTTTTTTCCTTAACGTTCCAGCATTCAAAATAGCCAGACTAATTATATTGCAAAAAATAAAATGAAATAAATAAATACGATTAGATAATGTGTTTATAATAAGATTAAAAAATAAACAAAATGTAATACTTACTTGCCAAGTTGAGAAATATTTATTTTATGTTAGATATTGACCCTTTCTACACTTCCGCGTATGCTTACGCTGGTTATTTACCATAAAAGTAATAGAAAATACAGATCAGTTTCTTGAAACAAAATACTTTATATCTGTTCTTTACTTCCGTCTGCACCCACTGTGATATTTCTGCGTATCACTTTCGGGGCTCATCATTCACGCATGCATGTCGATTATGTTCCCCTACAATTTAACTCTGATTACTCATATTGCACATCATCTTGTAAACAAAGAGGTCATCAATTATGAAAAGCTTCTCCTCATATTAGGATTAAAGCATTCTTTATGCGCATTTAAGTTGGATGTAGTTGCACGGATGATTTGAATAATAGATGTGTAACTAATATGTCCTGACTTATTAGGCCTTGCACGCGCATATGGGCGCGCGGAAAGATTCAGGCTGGTGCACGTGTAAAATAAAGAAAGCACCTGCTGAAAAGCGTGTTCTTTGTTTACTGACACATTTCATTTTTCTATGTAATATTTTTGGAGCCATTTTCACTGATAATTGTAAAAAAAAATATAAATAAAACAAACAAAAAAATAAAATAATGATAAAGTGGAAAATTCTAATTAGTTTCGGAACTGATATTTAATAAGTCACAATTAGTCCGAAATATCTCAGTTTGGCCTTTGTTCTGCGTATTTTTATGCGCTAAGATGCTGGTTGCACTTTAACAACTGCTGCGCTGTGCTACAGTGTGCAGGAATTAAACGTCTTCCTCTTCGTGTACACATATAAATATATTTTCATCCGTATGCATGCATGCAAAAGCTGCAGCGGAAGGCAAACTCGGGTTGTGCTACTTACGGTGCATTGCCGTGAAGGGGTCTGCTTTGCAGTGAATATCCATTGGATAGCAAAGGAAAGACAGATAATCAACTGAAGTCGCCGTTTCGCCTTCCTATCGAGGGGGGGAATTGTGGAGAAAAAAAAATGTGATTCTAATCGATGGAGGGACTTATAATTTGGACCCCCCCTCCAGCCCCGATCCGATGGCAACTTCTTCCCCTTAAAGTTCCCTCTCTTCTCTCTCTCTTTCTCTCTCTCTCGCTTTTTTTCTTTTTTTTCTTCAGCAGTCCGGTCCGTCAACTGGATGTCTTCTTGCAGGTGCACTGCATGACCGAAGGAGCGCTTCTCAAAGCTGGAGGTAATTCTCACAGCATGCCAGCGACCGAACCGGGTTCCTTTTTCTTTTTCTTTCTTTCTTTTCTTTCTTTTTTTGTTGTCTCGCAGGAATCTCTCCGTACAGGGCCCCCCGATATGTCCTCAGTCCTGGTGGGCTCGATTCACGGGTGAAGAAAGGCTTGCACGCCGGATTCAGGCTTTCTTGGCGCAATAGGGTGCGTGAGGCTGGATTTTTGGAGCTGGGAATGAAGCCTCTTCTCTGTGTCTGTGGTTCTAAAAGCTGCAACCCTCCTCCTCCTCCTCCTTCTCCCTCTCCTCCTCTCCGTCCCCCTCCTCCCCTCTGCAGACCCCCCTTTTTGCTTATATGGATGACTTGTCAGACAAAGGCAATAGATGCCAACACTTTGTGATTCGCCAGCGCAAAAAAAAAAAAAAAAAAAATGGGGGTCCAAATGAGGAGGTCTCTAGTTCTCTGACACACCAACAGAAAGGGGAGGGGTAATAAATAAGAGACAGGGTCCGACTTGCAAACATGTGTTTATTAGACATTGGAAAGTTACGTTCTTGCTTACAGTAAAATTTCGAAAAAAAATATTATCAAAAATAATAATGAGAACTCATTTTGTGCCTTTGTCCGACAAAGAGCACATTGCATTAATAATAACTGTAATAAAAGCAATTCAGATAAAATATCACTTTACTATTTTAAAACCCCATCATATATATATATATATAGATTTTTTTTTTTCATTTTTTATAATTTTTCTTTGGATTTCAACCCGAGCAGGCCCCATAGATTAGCCCCTGATCTTTTTTCTTGATTTAATTGGATATTAAATATATATTACGGTTAAAAATAGATGTGTTGACCTTTATTGCACGCAGCTGATGGTGTGATGATTGTGCTGCTCCACAGTGGGAGTTACAGAGCATGGTCGGAGGTGAAGGTTCCTCTGCACCAATAACATCTCTCCTTCTGTAGATGGCGCTGTATAGTTTCTCAAACCTAAACACAGCTGAACTAAGGGTTCTAAAACAAGTAAAAAATTTAGGGAGCACTTAAGTGTCATGCAAAGCAGAAAGTTAAAAAAAAATCTTCTGGGAAAGATTTTCCAGAATAAAATAAGCTAGATAGATAGATAAAAAGGTATAGGATTGTACTTATGTTTAGATACATGATGATTTTTGACATAACTGATCACTTTCAGAGTCACATGTTTAATATGAAATTATGATAAAAGGCAGAATTGATTATTAAAATAAAAAAAAAATCTAGATTATATTATCGTTATTTCAATGTGATCTAGATAAAATCCAAAGACGGTCCTAAAAGCTTTGAAAAATTCTCACAAAGAATCATATATATATATATATATATATATATATATATATATATATATATATATATATATATATATATATATATATATATATATATATAACAAATTATTTTTGTTATTTTTGGAGAGTGTAATAATCAGCAATTAAAGTGATTTCTTAAAAAATTGTACATATAAATCAAAATTATCAAGTAACTTATTCAAGCAGATGAATGTATGAATGTAATGTTCATTGATGCCTCAAATTTTTAAATATTTTAGTAAAAATTACACTGAAGATAAATGTTAGAATGAACCTGAATATGTGTCAGTCAGATACTGCTCTTAGCAACAGTATCCACAGGAGAATATATATTTGAAGATTTGTAATATTTATTATTATTATTATTATTATTATAGCATTTTTGACTATTGTTTAGTGTCAGTCCTTATGCTAAAGTCAAGCGTGCTAGCAAGTTCAGCTGCTGAAGCTGGAGGCAGTTTTAGCCAATGAAGGTCACATCTTAGTGATTTACAGGGAAATGGTTGAAAAGCGTCATGTTGGAATAAAACTTTAAATATGAATTACAATAAAGATTTATGTCTTAATCACAAACCAATTCTTATTTTTGGTTTCTTTCCGAGATTGGGGGCCTGGGGTGTGGTAAATAATGTTGGAGAGTGTGGCTAATTTAGTTGAGCAAGTACATTTCTGAAAGTTTGGTGGAACTGAACAAATGTATGAGTTTTACATTCTGATAAAGCTTACTAACTACCCAAATAACACAGATTTTATTGATTGATTATTGAGTAATTGATACATTTTATCGTCTGTAGTTAATAATGGTTAACTGCTTTATTATTGTTGTTTTGCTTAATAATAATAATAATAATAATAATAATAATAATAATAATAATAATAATAATAATAATAATAATAATAATAATAACAATAACAATAACAATAATAATAATAATAATAATAATAATAATAATAACAATAACAATAATAATAATAATAATAATAATAATAATAATAATAATAATAATAATAATGACATTATGTCACCACACTTTGGGGGTTGAGATGGGGGCCATCTCTTTGGGGCAGGCGGCCTCCTGGTCAGGTTAGGGGATGATTTCTCTTTTTGTTACTGTTTTTGGAGAGGGCTTCTGGTACAATATGTAGCACTATAGGCTGTAATTTCACACCCGGCTGCACATTTCCCTTAAAGCTACACCCCTCCACACACGCACCTACTATAAGACCCCCCTCTCCAACCCCCCGCCCCCTCAACCCCATCGTCGCCCCCTTCTTCAGTTTTACACCCCCACTTTTCTCTCCTCCTGCTCCCAACCATCACCGCCACCCATCTAATGTAAAAAAAAAAA